CCCCCCCCATTTTTTTTTTCTTCCCCAGTTTAAATGCACCCAGCATTAAATAAAATTTAATGCAGCGTAAAAAAAAGGTTTCCACGTACGGAGTTATTTATACTCAACAAACAGGACATCTGTTTTTCTTTTCAAAAATCTGGGGTTTGAAGTTCTTAATTTCATCCAGAGTCTCTATCAAAGCTCCGAGATTTCTTTTTTGTTCTTGGAGAGCGATCCTTACAGTGAACCACAAAGAAAGTTGGTGACCAGAAGGGTCAGTTTAACTTTAAAAAAAATAAAATAAAATAGAATTAAAAAAACCCAAACAACTGTGACTGTTGAGATACCGTATATCTCAACGCATCTCCTTGTATTTGGGGCTTGCTAGGTTGTGCCCTAGCTATGCTGCTTGGCCTGAAGCACAGAGGCCCAGGGAGGGAGGGGAAGCTCGGACGGACTATTTTGAAGTGTTGATTAGCATCTTCTCTGGAGACGGGAGTAGCTGCTGGCGGCAGCACTGATGCTTCATTAGGATCGCAGGGCCGGTCAGGTCGGCGGTACCTCGTTCATCCTAGGGGCTGAACATTCCTCTGTTCTGCTGCTCATTTTTTTTTTTTTTTATTCTGGAGGCAAATGTAGGTGTTGGAAATGTCTGAGAGGTACTCCCTCCCCTCTCCCAAAACTGCGGCGATAGCAGCACCACGATCTTACCGTTGCGGGTTTTGTGCACGCACAGGTGGCGAGTGGTTTGGTAGCCGAGTTTAGGGCGGGCTTCCCAAAATGAAGTGGCTCGTTCCGGAGGCAGCGGTGTGCAGGCGCGGCTGGTGGGGCGGGGAAGGGGGTGCGGGTCACAGCGCCTGCATTGCTAGTAGTGATCACTTTGGAAGGTAAGGGGGTGACGGGCATCGTGCTCTTAGATGGACAGACAGGGGTTATTCCGCCTGCATGAGAAAGCGTACATTTGGGCCAGCACTCTGGTGTAGGGAGTAAACTGCGATTCCCCTTTAAAGAAAATCCCTTTTAGTCGCTTTAAAAAGGGATGCGGGGCGCGGCGGGGTAATGCTCTGGCATTCACCCAGGAAGGATGCGGATCAGCAGAGGCATCATCACTTCTGTGCGAGCTCTCCCGCACATTTGTATGGCCACTTCCCCTACACCAGCCCCTCTCTGTATTTTTCGCGTTTTATGCTTCTCAGTGAAGTCCAAGCACTTGCCTTAGGTGCACAGGGAAGTGCAAAGACAGAAGTCAGTGTATCGTAACGCTAAGAAACAAGGAACCCAAAGGCAACTCGCATGCTAGAGCGGTTTTGCACCAGAAACGCTACGTGTTTTTCTATGAGCACCCGAAATTATCGGTCGTTTCCCTCTCCTTTAATCCCAAAAGCGTGAACATCTCAATCACGGAACTCTACCTCAAATGACCCGAGTGGAAATGAAACATCCCAGTGGATCTGCTTAAAGTCAGCTGGGGATCCGGCTCGATCTGTCTCTCCCCTGCTTGCCGGGGTGGCCACCACGGCACCAGCATCTCAGGCTGGCACAGCACAGCAAGCAGGGAGTACCCTGGTCCCGGGGGGACCGGTCAGACAAACCCCTCGGAGCCGTTTTCCAGCAGCGGGACCGGTGATACCAAGTGCCGCCCTAACCCCCAGTGCTGTGGTCACCACCAGTGCAACCCAGCCCAGGGTGGCTACCGGTGGCTACCGGCGGCTCGGGGGGGCCGGGGGCACGGCGGTCAGCTTGTTCGCCGTCCGTTTGTCCCTCCGCAGCCGGCTGCTCAGCGGGGCCTCGGGACGCCCTGCCGGCGGCGGAAAAAAAACCCCCGCGGCGCCGCGGCCCCCCGGCCGCGCTCCGGCGGGATGTCCCCGCCGCCCGGCAGCGGGGCTCGGGGAGCCCCGGCGCTCACCGCCCCCCCAAAACGGCGCCGCAGGGGAGCCGGCTTCCCCCTGAGGAGCGGTACCCAAGCAGCGCGATTCCTCCCCCTCAGCTGAGTTTTCGTTGGCGGCAGCGTCCTTATATTTTCGTGCATGTATACGGTTTTTACGAACAAAGTTATATTTAAACCTGTTTGCAGCCATGCTGACAAGTAGGACGACTATAGTTGTTCTTTCGAGATTTCCCTTGGAGAATGAGGTTACACCGCGGCGCGACTTCGTTACGCCTCGGTGCAAGGCTCCCCTTGCGCTCTTTGCTTAACTGCCTCGAGTGCGGAGGACGGCGAGAGGGCAGAGGGGGAGCCAGGACAGCTAAAACGGGGATGCTAAATGCTGGGAGGTCCAGCACCGCCTGCGGCAACTGTCATGCGCCGCCGGCGGCTGCAATGCAGGCACCACGACCGCATTAAAATCTAGTTTTGGTGTGCTCGGGTCCTCGAGGTCTCATCAAGCCTGCCTGGCTCTTCATTAGGGCGTTGCAGAAGAAGAGACCGCGTCCTGCTTGCTTCATTATTATTATTATTATTATTATTATTATTATTATTATTATTATTATTATTATTATTATTATTATTATTATCCTACGGCTAGCCTGCCGTTCGGAAAACTAAATGAGACCCACAGGGCCTCCGTGAGCCCGGGGTGCTGTAAGCAGAGGAAGGGTTGGCTTTTAAAAAAGTAAGATGTAGTCACAGCCTCTGACCTGGGTAACCTGAGGTGGAGGGGAGCTGTTGGGGAAAGGCTCATGGTGGGAGAGTTGGGAGGGGGGATGCTGAACTCCTCGTACCTAGAGTCGGCTTAATTGTCCTAATGAGCTATTCAGAGTCAACATGTTATTACTGAAATGAGGAAGGTAGGTGGTGAAAATACAGGGGAAAATGAGAGGATGCGAGGACTTGACGTTTTCCTCTGGTATGAGGCAGGCTCTGCTCCAGGAGGGCCGCGTAAAGGTCCTGCAGCACTCAAAATTTGCAAATATTTAATATACTTTATTCCAGTATAAATCCTATATCTACTGCAGTTCCTTAAGGATGATATTGGATTATTCCAGTAAACCAAGAGCAGCTGAGATGTGTGTGTGTGTGTGTGTGTGTGTGCTGCGGGTTCCTCCCAGACTTCACCCACCCGGGACCGGGTGCGTGGCAGAGCCGCTGGTGCGGCGGCCGTTCCTGGCAGAGGCACAGGTCTGCCCGCTGCAGCCTCCTCCTGTTAGAAACCCGGCTAGGAAAAAAAGTGCTTACGGGAAGAGAAAGCCAAACCTTTGCCTATCGACTCTCGTGTCTGGAAGCCGAGGAGAAAGCAGAAGAGGTGCAAACTGGTGGTTTTGTGTTTTGAAATAACAAAAAGAGTCGCGTTTGGGATTGCAGGGTGGAGCTTGAAACGTGGGATCAAAGATGCAAAGATTCCTTTGAAAATAGGAAATGTCGGTCTTTTTCACTGAATTGGGGCGAAAAGAGCAAGAGGGATCACAAGCTTTGGAAGAGATGGTGCAGGTTTTTGACCTGTTGTTTCCCTCGCACAGTGCTTCTTCACCCAGGAAAAGCCCCAGGAGTTTTTTCGGTTTGCTCGTGGGATGAGGAGATTTTTCTCACTGTTGAGAGAACCCTGAGTGCTCTGATATTTTGGAAAGGAGCGGGTACCGAGTGGCGTAAGTGCCAGGCTGGTCTGGAAGAGCAGTTTCAGCGCAGGCTGAGCTGGAGGAGCGAGAATCTCCTACCTTGTAGCTTCCCAACTCCCTTGGGCGATGTAGGTGATGAAAACGGAAAGAATGACGAAGGGGTTACGGAGAAGGGACCCCCATCCCCCGTTACGGAAATGAAAAAGAGGTCATTTCCATCTGCCCTAAATCCCAGGCTTTGAGAAAGTGGATTCTAGGACTGAGAACAAATGTTTGTATTAAGTATATATGCTGAACTAAATAGGTACGGTGGCAAGGGCATTTTAGCAACAAGACGAAAAGTTATTTTTTGTGTAATAGCAGTGTGTCAAAAATTAATATAAAGTACCTTTAAGGTCTTCAGCTTTAAAGCACGCATTTGCTCTTTGTATTCTGCTTGGCATATGTAAGTACAGACACAGAATATGTGTTTCTTTTCTTATTTGTTCTGTACACACAGTTGCCGTATCATTGATTATTAGCTGTGCATGTTTATCACATAAAGGGACTCGAGTATGAGTCAATTAATAGAGAATGCAACTGCTGAAGTTAAGTTTATATTCAGATGGCAAACAACCTCCCTTTAAACAAATGGATAACGCAAAGTGCAAATCCTTTGACTTTTTGAGCAGGAGCAAATATTATAATAATTTGTCTCCAGAGAAAGCTAAGGAAGCTTTCCTATATACATTTCATTGTCCTTTAGCATTTAAAAGAATAGCAATAGCGGTAACATATACAGATAACATGGATTAGGTATCTAATTGTGACTAATCTTTGTTCTGATGATGTAGTACATACATGATATAGTTCCAGTTGACCTCTTCACATTGCATTATGTAACTGACTGATTAGAAGCACAAATTGAATGCAATTTGTTTGAAAGATTATTTCACAAATAACTGCCATATTGACGAATGTTTTACTTAATGATGTGGTAAATGCAATTTAGAATAAATTAACCATTAATTGTATCTACACACTTCCTCTTTAGATTGTTATTACTATTTATAGCTTTGTGTGCTACCACATTTAAAGTGATTGTATAAGCAATGTGATATCATTTCGTGTGATGGCTCAGACTTTGAAAACATTCTTCCTTGGCATATTAAGCGGGCTTTAGGAGAATTTGCCTTTCATGTGGAAACAAAGCTCTGTCCATATTTTTGGACAGTAACAGTGAGATATTTCCATAGGTTTTCATAAACATCCTCTTTTTGGCCTGCCTCCAGGTCATTAGGTCTCACTTCCTTCTCCTCCTAGTCAATGGGAGAATCCACAAACTATATTTCCATGCCTACAGGCCCACCTTTCTTAAGTGTTTCTCTCAAATAGACCTATTTGGAACTGCCACTGAGTCCTCTTCTCAGTCAAAGGTAGATACATGTTCTCTTGTATCTCTCAAGTGTGTGATAGTGTAGGATAGTGAATATGCTGGGAAAGTTATTACTTGCAGAAGAAACCCTACACACTCTTACTCATATCACTAGTGGAACCAGTTTTATGAGTAAGCTTAGCAATCTAACTTTAATACTCGAGATAAGGTTTAGTGACATTAACTGGATAATGTATTTTTTCTTAAATAGTTGTAAACGGTAGAACCAAATTTGACCTGCTGCCTTTCCTTCATATTTCTGTATTAATGTGTATTTTGCCACTTGCATAATCGTGCACAAAACTGGGTCCCACTTCACATGTTGAGTCTACAATGTACTTTTCCTGAGACTGGAAAGCCTACCATCGTTCACATGATTTGATTAGCAACGTAAATTTATAAAGGAATTGTTTTAATCAGTCAAAATGCTTGGGAAGCTTATACCTCAAACAAAAAAGTATAAAAGGATTCCTCTTGAACTACTCAGTGCAGTATTCTGTTTGTTCACCATTAGTTTTTATTACAGACTTGTCTCCCTGAAACATTGTTTATATATTTCTTGCAAATAGGAGACAGGCTTTTCCAGGTGTCCACAATACGTTTCTGCAGTTCTTCTTTGTTCATGTAGGGGCTTTCTTAGCTACCATTTATTTAATTCACTCCAAATTTCTATGCTTGTATTTAAACCAGGTGACTGTAATGGCCAAGGCACTAAAACTGTGAGCCGGAGTCTACAGTCACTGCTCATATGAAGAAAGTTTTATTTGCTAGAGTAAGGATTAAAGGACTGCAGCTCAGATCCATAGAAAAAAAAAAAAAAGCAGTCATTAGTTTAAATGCATGCATACTGATAGTCTCACACGGCATGAAATTCAGGATTGCAAATAATTGTCTCTATTCCAAGAAAGAAAAGTGACTTCAAATGCTTTCCACTTCATCCTTTTCCCATTCGGTGTGCTCGCTGTTCCAGGCCTTTGGAAATTCCCTCCTCCCAAACACCGAGTTACAGCTCTTGTAAAATGATTGTCTGGGGTTGAGACACATTCAGAAGCGGCAATGGCTGAAGCAATTACTATCTCCAGCTGCCTGCCTCACTCCACTGATGAAAGGTACAGGGCCTGCTGCAGGGATTCTTACTCTTAAAATGCCACAGTTTATGGTTTAAGGTAAACTGCCACAGATTTCACTTTACACGGACGCATTGGACTGTACGCTGTAGCACAGCTGTTCCTGCTAGAGAGGTTGTTCACACTTTATCCTTACTCTGCCCTTCAGCACTTTGAATGGCATAAACGAGGCTTGTGAACACCATTACAGCAGCTGGGTGCTTCAGTCCCTTTGGGGATCAGCCCCAGTGGTCCTCCTACATGGCAGAGGCAGGGAGACCATAGACCACAGAGATTAGGGTTCTGTTCACTGCTCTGTGATAGCTCAGAGAGCTGAAGACAAGCGAGGCAGTTGGAAAACTGCTGGTTTTACCGCATGACATTTATGTCTCATCTATGGATTGTGTTAGTGGCTGTGCAGAAGAGGCAGGCCAAGCGCTTGAGCTGCTACCAAAGGATTCCCCTCCACACTATCATCCTCTCAATACTCTGCACAAAACGGGATGCTGAACTGGCTCCTGCTTTCTTAACAGCGACAGTGTGTTCTTAAGCAGGTTTACAATTTTACTAGCTCTGCTTCTGTTTCCTTAATCTGTTGTGTGTTTGCTCTCATTGCTCTGTGCTGCATCTCAGTATGGCTGTGATTGCCATGTTGATTCACTGTAATTATCAAGAAATACAACAGGTGTGATAAGTTACTAAACTGCTTCTGAAGTAAGCTCTTCCCTCTACATTATGGTGTTCTTGCTAGTTTTTATTCGTACACACACAAACGTGGCGCTTCAACATGGCCTAAATTAAGTGTTAACAAATAAATCTCCTTTGTCCGGTCAACAGTGGCAAGTATCTGTTTAAAATCTAATTCTCCTTCCCTCACCTCTCTTTTGTACTTTACAGCGTGGGCCAGGCTCCAGCACACATGTTCGTACTCAGTAGGTTACTTCAGAGGCAGCCCCTTTCACTTTGATGACACTATTTATGGAGGCAGGCATCGCTCTGTGTGAACAAGGGTATAGCGTCTGACCCTTCTGAAGGCTTGGGATGGCTGAAGTCTGGAGTCAATCACATGATGTTTAACACAGTTAGATGATTTATTCCTGTTGTTGTCTTTTGTTATCATCCACTTAGTGCAATTAAATCGCAGAAGTCCTGATTTACTAAAGCGCTCGAGCACATGGCAGGCTCTAAAAGTGCTTAGACATAAATTTCAGTACATGATTATATCCTAGTGAATTCAGTTTTGAAATAAAAAAAAACCCTTAGGCACACGCTTAGAAATAAGAATATTCCTTGGCTTTGCCAAACAGAGGTGGCTTGAAGGATGCATTTGTTACTGTGTTGAATTGGGACCTAATAAAGAACAGCCGTAGTTTTTCAGCTACAAACCACTGCATATAAATCTTGGGGGCAGCAATGTTGAAAATAACAGCTATTATCTGCTGAAGTTTCAGTGCAACTATGGAAACTCAAATGCCTGGCTAACTAAAGTTTGGCTACATCCCTAGCATTGTGTGGATATTTTGACATAACCTAGAGTGAAGATCTTTAAACCCATTCAATATTCAACGTTCTTACATCTGTGCTGTTGGTTAGGAAGTGAACATGCATGGTCTGTCCTGAAGGCAGCCTGTTCCCAAGTAGCCTGTGGCTTCGATCATCTCTATACTATGTTTGGCAGCTGGTAGCCTGGGCTGTTGCTATAGAAAACTCTCTCCCTCTGACTTGGGCCCTGGTTAACTGAAATCCACCCAAAGGCATTGCACGCTATTTTTGTCTTGCTGTTTCCAAAGACTGTTTTGTACACAGAACAAAATAATAATCTTTAATGACTGCTTCATGAGGCATATCCCAGTCGAGTATTTGCTCAAATAAAGGCTGGGTTTGCGTATAAATAGCTTGATAGCCTTCTCCCATTTTCAGCCAAACCGCTGAACAGTGTTCTCCAAAATAATTCTGTTGATCCTAAGCTGCTACTAGGAGAGTTAAAGAAAAAGTGTCATCTTCTGAAAGATGATCAGCCTTCTTAGTGCTTTCTAGTTTGTGAAAACCAGCAATGGGGGTAGGGACGTGGGTTCAGTCCAAAGAAAGCTGCATATCTGTGTGACTACAACTGTGTAACTTAACATGGGAATATGCAATTAGGGCTTCCATGATGATATCTAGTGAGTTCAAGAAAGCAG